GCAGGGACCCCACAGATCCCAGCCCCACAGTTCCCAGTCGGTGCAGGCCATGGGGGACCCTGCCCCCAGCTCCTAGCCCCGCGGTCAGGGGTACCTCCCAGCCTCTGGGCCAGGGACCGCAGCGATGGAGAATCCACCACAACTGTTGGAAAGTTGTTCCAGTGGTTAATTCCTTTCACTGTTACAATGTGTCTTATTTCTTCTTTGAATTTGTCTAACTTCTGCTTCGAGCCATGGGTTCTCATTACGTTAACTAAAGTGCTGTCTGCTGTCAGAAATCTCTTCCCCATCTCAGTACTTATAGACTGATCATGTCACTGCCTCACTTTTTCTTGGATAAACTACACTTCTTTAGTCTCTCAATGTAAGGCATGAAAAGTTAACAGTTTTCTGCCAGACAAAGGATGTTTATTCACCTCTCTCTGTGGGTGCACATGTAAGTTAAGGATTGTAGGTTAATGCAATGGGGAGTCATTGACATACCAAGCTGGGGGGAAGGGAGGGATGTGAAGTCAGCAGGAAGGCAGCACACTGGAGAGTAAGCTACAGGGGTTATCAGGACTCATGGTACAAACAATGAACTTTGGGGATATAATTAGAAGGTAAAGACGACACCCCGTTATCCTGCACCTAGGAAATGACTGGACAGCACATTTTACAGTCATGGGCATTTGTTCAGCACTGACTTACAGGGACCAATACCCAGGGGTGAAAGTAACTCAAAGGACTTGCCGGTACTCCGGAGTCCTGAGGAGGGGCATGGCCTCCACCGGAAGAGGCAGGGCCTTTAAATCCCCAGGCCCTTTAAATCAGGATTTAAAGGGCCCAGGGCTAGGGCTGTGGTAGCAGCAGCTGGGAGCCCCAAGCCCTTTAAATCACCCCCTGAGCTCCCAGCTGCAGAGGTGTCTGGGAGCCCTGGGGTTCGGGGGTGATTTAAAGGGGGTGATTTAAAGGGCCCGGGGCTCTAGCTGCTGCTACCGCAGTGGAGCTCCAGGCCCTTTAAATTGCTGACAGAGCCCGGGGGCTCCAGCAGCAGGGCCTGGGGCTCCGGCTGCCGCTACCCTCCAGGGCCCTTTAAATCGTCTCCGGAACCCTGCTGCTGGAGCCCTGGGGTAGCAGCGGCAGGTCTCCAGTGGCTATTTAAAGGGCCCGGGGTGGTAGAGGCAGCGGGAGCCCCGAACCCTTTCAATAGCCACCAGAGCCCTGCCGCCGCTACCCCAGGGCTCCGGCAGGCTCCGGGGGCTATTTAAAGGGCCCAGGCCCTTTAAATTGTCCCTGGAGCCCTGGGGTAGCGGCAGTGGGGCTCCAGCGGTGGATTTAAAGGGCCCGGGGCGGTAGCGGCGCAGGAGCCCTGGGCCCTTTAAATCGCCACCCGAGCCCCGCCGCTGCTACCCCAGGGCTCTGGCAGCGGGGCTCTGGCGGCAATTTAAAGGGCCCTGGGCTCCAGCCCTTAAATTGCTGCCTCATGAAGCCAGTCCACCCCGGTATGGCGCACGAGCTCTTGCCGGCAGGGGTGGCAGGTTTGTAGAAATTTTGGTGGTGGGCCCAGAACCTGCCCCTGCCCAAACTCTGCCCTCCCCCAACTCCACCCCCCACCTGCCCAAGGCTCTGGGAGGGAGTTTGGGTGGGGGAGGAGGTCTGGGGTGCAGGCCCTGGGCTGGGGCAGGGGACTGGAGTGCAGGAGGGGTGCAGGATGCAGGCTCTGGGAGGGAGTTTGGGGATGGGAGGGAGTGCAGAGGGAGGGGATGTGCAGGTTCTGGGAGGGAGTTTGGGGATAAGAGGGGGTGCGGAGGGAGTGGGTGCAGGGGTGAGGGCTGTGGGGTGAGGCTAGGGGTGGATTTGGGGTGTGGCTGGGGATGAGGGGTTTAGGGTGTGGGAGGGTACTCAGGGCTGAGGCAGAGGGTTAGGGTGCATGGGGATGAGGGGTCTGGCTGGGGCTGGAGATGAGGGGTTTGTGGTATTGGAGAGGCTCAGGGCTAGGACAGAGGGTTGGGGTGCGGGGGGATGAGGGCTCTGGCTGGGGGGTGGGCTCTGGGGTGGAGCAGGGCTGGGGATGAGTTTGGGGTGCAGGCAGGCTGCCCTGGGACTGGAGCCAGAGAGGAGGACTCCCCCCAGCCCTCTCCCTGCCGGCAGCAGCGAGCTCTGGGGTAGGGACCCCCTTCTCCCCCCCGGCAGCACACTCACCCCCCACTGTCACTGCACGTGCTCCTAGGGCCCCTCTCAGGTCCAGGAATCTCCCTCGCCTCCCCTGTGGTGGGTGCCATGCCGGGGGGACTGCCATCACATGTGCGCCTCCTCCCCTGCTGCTGCCCCTCACTGTAGCCTCACTGGGGGTGGGGGATGGGGCTGCCCCTTGCCCAGCGTGGGGCAAGAGCGTTGACTGCGGGCAGGGGGGGCGGCTGTACTGGTGGAGGGTCCCACCGGAAAATGAAAGGGTCTGAGGGGGAAGGGCAGCCTGCCCTGGCAGTAGTGGAGGGGGGCACTAGGACCCTGCGGCGGCAGTTAATGCAGGCAGGCAGCATGGAGCTTCAGGGGAGAGACATGGAAATAGGGTGAACAGACATCCCGATTTTATTGGGACTGTCCCGATATTTGCTTGTTTGTCCCGCGTCCCGAACGATGTGCGGTCAGGACACTGGACAAACAAGCAATTTTACCCTCCTGGAAGGGCTCTCGCTCCACCCCCACCCCGACTCCGCCCATTGGCTCCCTCCCCAAATCCCTGCCCTGGCCCCGCCTCTTCCCCAAGCACGTGGCATTCCTCCTCCCTCCCAGGCTTGCCACTGTAATGGCAGCAAGCCTGGAAGGGAGGGGGTGGTGGTCGGCTTCCAGTTCCTGGAGCTGGTGAGTACGGGCACCGGGCAGGCAAGGGGGCTGCTCCCCAAGGAGGGAGATGGGGGGGGCTCCGGGGCTCCGGACCCCGGCAGCGGCGCGGGAGAGCGGCTTGGGGCCGCATGAGTGGCCATGTAAAGTTTATCACCGGTCCTCGCCCCTGTAGGGGGGTGGTAAGGAGCCGAGTCCCCCCCTCCCCCCTCGTCCTGGCTCCTCAGCTGAGCCCCCCGCACCATCTCCCTCCTGGGAGCAGCCCCCTTGCCTGCCCGCCTGGTGCTTCCAGCTCCAGGAACTGGAAGCCGGCCATCACCCCATCCCCTCCAGGCGTGCGCCGGCATTACAGCTGCAAGCCTGGGAGGGAGTAGGAATGCCGCTCAGCTGAGGAGCCAGGACGAAGGGGGAGGGGGGACTCGGCTCCTTACCTGGCCTGCGGCGGCCGGCGTAACATACTGGCGCGGGGCGGGGACGCTACCCCCCTACAGGGCAGGGCGAGGAGCCGGCCGAGGTCTCCCCCCCCCCCAGCCAATAAACTTTACGTGGTCACCCGCTGCCGGGGTCCGGAGCCCCGCACCTCTCCCGCTCGGCTGCGCTCCAGCAGCTCCTTCCCCGCGGGGCGGTGGGACGCGCCACATGTGCCCGGGGCCTGCTAATTCCCCCGGCACCTGCAAAACAGCTTTTTTTTTTTTACTTTTGTTGTTGTTGTTGTTTTTTTTTGCTCCGTTCCCCCCCACGTCCCGATATTTCATGTCAGTGATCTGGTCACCCTACACGGAAGGGAGGTGCACGGGGGCAGCAAAGGGGGGCCAGCCCACACTCAGGGGAGGCGCAGGGGGGGCAGCAGGGGGGGTCAGGGGGGAGACCCGGCCCCGAACATTCGTGGAGCTGGGCCCCTGGACCCTCAATATTGCTGGAGCCAGGAGGAGGAGTCAGAGAGGGAGAGAATGCTCCATTTTCTTGCCGGTACGCTACTGCACCTTTTCTTACCGGTCCTCCGTACTGGCCCGTACCGGCTTACTTTCACCTCTGCCAATACCACCTTCTGAATAACAACACATCACTTCCTGCAGCATGTAGCTGGGCCCTGGAGATCTCCCATCTGAGGTACCGACCGAGGCTCATCCAGCTTAGCTTTCAAGAAACAACCCCACCGCACCCCAAAGTGGTTCTGGTGCAGGCTAGCTGCATACAGCAGGTGACTCACCAGAGATCCCTTCATCTCCTTCAGCCCAGGGTGTATTTTTCTCTGGTGTTTTAAGAACACTGTTGTCATTGGCAGTGTTCCAGCGGGACTCTGGTCCATCCTAACAACAGCACAAGGGAGCAGACAGGATCTGGAGAGAACGTAAGAGCCCATGACAAGACACTCACCTCCCCAAACTGGCCTTCTCCAAGCTTCTCCTTGAAGGTTAGCAGTTTCCTAGGGAACTCTTCCACAGCCACATCCTTGCCCGAGAGCAGGTCCATAGTGATGGCAGGCACAGAGTAGGTGTTGCTGCCTGTCACACCTTGCAGATTCACAATGTCAGCCTCTGCATAATGGGGGACTCCCTCGGGGCCACTTGACTGGGCGGGTTTGACTACTCCACTGCAGCCTGGGAAGAAAAGAGCACGAGAACACCTCAGCTGCTCAGCACTATTCCCCTGGAGCCCAAGTCACATAGAAAATGCCCTGGGCCATCTGCTTTCCCAGATGCCAGGGGAGAACAGACCAGGCTTTGGGGGAGCTTAAAGGGGTCTGAGACCTGTACAGTCTTCTCAGCTCCCTGAAACTTCACTCCAAGTTTCCAGGCCCAGTTATGATTGGTGCCGTAGGTGACACAAGGGGAGAGGGGAAGCCAGTAGCATCCTCATCCAGAACGTATGCTCCCTGCTCAGAACGCATCATCAAACTCTTCAAAGCCACAGCTGGAGCAGTTCTAATTGTTCATTCCCATGCGACTGACTTTGCATTTGTCAATATTAAATTTCAGTCTGACATCATGCTGCCCATTCCCCCAGCCTGGTTAAATCCCTGGGAAGTTTCTCCTCTAGTCCTGACTAATCTGAAAAGAGGCAGTGTGGACTAGCAGACAGGACTGTGATATAGAAAACATGTTCTATGCTTGGCTCTGCTGCTGGGTGATCTTGGGAGAGTCACTGCCCTCCTCTGTGCCTCAGTTTCCCCAACTGTAAAATGAAGATAATGAATGATATTGAACTGCTTGGTAAACTGCTTTGAGGTCTCCAGATGGAAAGCTATGAGCTATGTATTACTATTAAATAATTTTATCATCTGCACATTTTGCCACTTCACTTTTCCAGATCTTTGATAAATAGGTAACTAACCAACACAGCACAAATATCAAATTCCATATTAAGTTGAAATACTTGCAGTTTGAATTGTCTTAGTCACAGACTTAAGGGACCAGAAACTATGTGCTGAGACTTATTTGACTAACACCACACTGCACATGGCAAGGGCAAATTGAAATTTTGTAATCAAATAAAATACACAGCCCATCTTAACATGGCTCAGGGAGATGGGGACTAGGACTGGGATAGGGGCCTGGGACCTCTAGGCTGCTGGTTCAAATTTACCCCAGGTTGGTATTGGTCTAAAGTCACTCCCACTGGGATGGCTGTCATGTGATGCGATTCCCATGTGATGTGAAATGGTCTCACTCCATTTCCCAGTGGATGCATGACTAGTCCTGGTTGAAATGTTTCTGTCTAAACTGTTGATGTAATCCAACCAAAAAGCCCAGCCTATTGAGGAGGCACCTGAACTATAAATCCCATGAGGCACTACAGCAGCATTTTCAAGCCAAAATGTTTTGGCTGAAATTTTTCAGTTTTTGAGTTTGCACAGAAAAAAAATCAAAATTTTCCGCAAGGGAACTTTTTTGTTTGTGCCCAGCTATACACATGACCCTAAAAATGACTCCACCACAAGTGTCAGTGTGAGCACATGCTCCTTGCTGGCAGATCAAGGATGTAGTGAGACTGAATGCCACTACTACCCTCAACTGGATGCCTCCGGAGCTGGCATCAGGGGCAGGCATAGCAGGCCATTGCAGGAGCACTCTGCTGCTCATTGTTTGCTCAAACAAAGCTGTGTTAGCTGCAGAACTTGCTTGTTAATCCTCACCTGCCTCTTCATCTCCTGGGGCAAACTCTGGCAGTTTGCGGATCAACCGCGAGGGCTCCTGGTAGTCTGGGCCCAGGGGGAAGATGCGGTCATAGGTGGAGTTGGACTCCTGCTCGCTGGATGAGGAGGAGTGGTTGTGGTTGAACATGCTGGATTCGCTAGGCAGGGAGAGGCTGACGGTCATTTCGTCATCCAGCATCCGACGAGAAGCCTAAGAGGTGGGGATGCAGAAGGAGAAAGTACAGGGACACAGCAAAGGACATTCCCCACTCTCGACAAACAGACAGGCCCAGTGGACCAAAGCAGCAAGACAAATCATGTGGGCCAAAAGGTCCTGTTTGGCAGACTGGGCCTGAAACACAACCGTCCTGTGAACCAGGCAGGGCTGCCGAATCCAGGGGCAGTTGGGGAACAGTCCCCTGAACCTGGGGGGGGAGCGGTGGGGGGAGGCGGCAAGGGTGAGGGAGCTGCTGGTGGACCCCATGAGTAGGGAGCTCCCAGAGCCCAGGCTCCAGCCCGAGCCTGAATGGCTACACAACAATTTTACAGCCATGCAGCCCGTGCCCTGCAAGCCTGAGTCAACTGACCCGGGCCAGCTGTGGCCATGTCATGGGTCTTTTATTCCAGTGTAGACGCACCCTCAGTGGCTAGATGAAATCAGTCTGCACAAGCAGGTCCATGCGCTCGCCTGTGAGCTTCAGGGGGGGATGCAAGTGGTGCACATCCCCAGCTGGGCCTCACCCTGAACAAACTCCATTACTGTCAGGGCTGTGCTGACGTCACCAGAGGGGCTGACGTGCAGCTGCAGGAATGAACCTAGTGCTGGCAGAACCCTTACAAAGAAGCCTCCAGGATCTGCTCACCTTCTCCAGCATCTTCTGCCAGAACTGCCTCCACAGGATGATGACAATGATGGCCACCAGGATGAAGATGATTGCAACCAGGCAGCCAATCAGGATGCGTGTGTTGCTGTCATCCACTTTGAGGGTTGGATCTGTCAGCAGGCGGGAGAGAGCAGGAGTGGTCACATTGGGAGGCTGGGTTTAACTTGGGTTCTCATTGGAAACATAGATCTCAGTCACTGGCAAGTCTACTCGGCTGGTACTTCCAGGCTCACCACCCCTACAGCGGGGCTAGATGAGCCAGAAGCAGTGCATAACTGCACCACCCCAAAGCACTCTGCACTTCACTCCATCCCTGGTTCCCTGTTTGCCAACCTATCCTTGCCAGGAGCAGACACCAGCAGCACAACTCTGCTGGCCAGCACCCTGGGGGTTACTGTCAATGCTCTGTCCATTTTCCACCCCTCTTCTTGCCCCCTTGCAAGAAGAGGCACAGCTGGGCAGAGCCTGCTCTCTGCCCTGTACATTGACTGGGGATGTGAATGCAGAGGTGCATAGGGCCAGAGACAGTCCTGCCCTCCGGGAGGCACTTCTGTGCTGGCTCCTGCTGCACTAGTGCTGCTCATCCCTTCTGCAGCCATGGAGCCTGGGACACCCAGGATTGTGAGACTGTAACTAACAATTCGAGACTCCCTATCACCACACTCATGTGACTCTCTCACACAGTCAAAGCCCAGGATACACACTGCTCTTCATTTTGCAGCCACAACCCTGGACTCTGCAACATACTGACATAACAGACTAGAAAGTCTGTGGAAACTTCATTTTAACAAAAAGGGAGGCATTTAATGAACTGACTATGGAAATAACTGCACTGACTGTGCCATTATCCTCTGTGCTATTCTTGTTGATATTACATTCATTGCTTCAGACTGTTCCCACATCTTTATTGTTCAATGTGCCACTGAATTCTACATTAACAACACATAACTGCAGCGCAGAGGGTGTCTGAAGAAGAGCTGGAAGCAGAATGGGTTGAAACCCAGAACTTCTATTCTGCAGGAAAATTTGACATCTCCAAGAAAAAAAAAATTGTATTATAAACAGAAGTTGAAATGAGATTATATATAAAGAATAGAAAAGTTGAAAATGTTTTGACTATTATGATGCCATGTCATAATAGGTCATTTGCAATATTGTTGTGGCTGTGTTAATCCCAGAAATGAGAGAGACAAAGGGATGAGATAAGAGGAGGTTACCTACATGTAACTGGAGGTTCTTTGAGATGTGTGGTCCCTATCTGTATTCCAAATGTGGGTGCGCATGCACGCCATGCACCAGAGCCGGAAGCTTTTCTTATCAGTGTCCATTGACCCGCACATTCATCATGCGTCCCTTTGTGCTCGCAGCCGAGGGTCTAAGAGGCCATGCAGGTCGAGGCCCCTCCAGTGACTCTATTACTTCTGAGTAGTCCAGTCCACAGCAGAGGGGATGGAGGGTGGATATTGGAATACATATGGTGACCACACATCCCAAAGAACCTCCAATTACAGGTAAGTAACCTCCTCTTCTTTGAGCAATGGTCCTTATGTGTATTCCAACAGTGGGGTAGTGATCAGTGTGGAAGTGGGTGGGAGGAAGAGAAGAAATGCAACCTGTAGTACAGTGCGGCCCACTGCAGTGTCCTCAGCCGCCCTTTGAGTGATGGCACAGTGGGATGTGAACGTGTGTACAGAGTGCCATGTTGCTACGACAGACGTCTTGCCATGAGACATCCGCTAGGCAGGTCAACGTGGCTGCTTGCGCTCACATAGAGTGCATTGTAACTCTATCAAGCGGCTGTACGTTGGATAGCGTGCAGCATTCGCGGATACACCTGAAGACCCATTTGGAGATTCCTTGGAGACAAGGGCTTGGCCCTTGGACTGGTCAGCGATGGCCACAAACAGTTTCATCGATGCGTGAAAGGCGAAAGTCCTGTGGAGGTAGAATGCTACTGCATGGTGCATGTCGAGGGAGTGCAGGATCCTGTCCACATGGGAGTGAGTGGTTTGGGACAGAAGACAGGGAGGTGGATGGCCTGACTGAGGTGGAACTCCACCACCACCTTTGGGAGGAACTTAGGGTGGAGCCGTAAGGACACTTTATCCTTCTGGAATTCAGTGTAAGGGGGACAGTTAGCCATCGTGGCCACCAGTTCGCTGACTCAGCTAGCTGAGGAAATGGCCACTAGGAACATCACCTTCATGGAGAGATGGGAAAGGGAGCACATTGCCATTGGCTCAAAGGATGGCTTTGTGAGGACGGACAGAACAAGATTAAGGTCCCATGGAAGTGTGGGCTGGAGTACTGGTGGGAAGGTATTGAGGGGACCCTTCATGAAATGGATGGTGGAGGGGTACATAACATAGAGGTGCCATCCACGGAGGGAGAAAGGCATTAAGTGCTGCCAGGTGGACCCGTGTAGAGCTGAGGGCAAGGCCCAACATTTTGAGCCCAAGGAGGTAATCGAGGATGGATATTGTACTCAGTGGGTGGTGATGGCAATAAGTTTTATGGCCCCCTTGAGGAGCAGAGCATCCACTTCTTGTTGGAGGATGGGTTTCCAAGGGAAGTCTGGGGTGAGGAGCGATGAGGGGGAAACAAGAGGAATTCTATGGGAGTATCCATGATGGATAATCTCCAGCACCCAGCTGTCCATGGTGATTTTGCATCAGTTGTGGGAGAACAGGGCAAGACGGTCCCCAAAGACAATATTGGGCACCGCGGGAGGCATCGGGGGAGGTTCGCAGTTCTTGACCTGCACGTCAAAACTGCTGTTTTGACTGCTACTGGTATAGGGTCAAAGTGGTGGTTGTGATGGAGGTGGGGAGCGTTGTGTGCGGTGCTGTCTATGTGGTGCCTCCTGCTGGCGTTGGAAGTAGGGCAGGTAGGGGGCATGTGGTCAGGAATGGAACAGTTGCCGCAGCTGCCTGCATCTTGGGACTGGGGTGTAAATGCCAAGGGACCTGAGCGTGGCCCGAGAGTCGTTCAGGGAATGGAGGGATCTGTCCATCTGGTCATTGACTAGTTTGTGCTCATCAAAGGAGAGGTCCTCAATAGTGTTTTGGACCTCCCTGGGGAATCTGGACGATTGCAGCCATGAGTCCTGGCGCATCACGACCCCAGTCGTCAGAGAGTGAGAGGCCCTCTTTGTCCAGCAGTCGCCCCTTGTCCACCAGTTCCTGGAATTGCTGCTGTTGGCCTGGTGGCAGCCTGTTATAGCTGAAGTCATATTTGGCTAGCAGAGCCTGATAATTGGCAATGCAGAACTGCAGTCCCACTGAGGAGTTGACTTTCCTGTCTAGCAGGTCCATCCTTTTTGCCGCTTTGTCCAGGGGAGTAGATTTTTGTGGGTGCTGTCATGCCCACTCTGCTGTTGCATGAAGCACAAGAGAGTTGGGGAGGGTGATAAAAATAAATTCTGTCCCCTTAGTAGGGACGAAATACCGCCTCTCTGCTCTCTTCTGTGTGGGGGCACAGGAGGCAGGAGTGTACCATGCTGTCCTTGCTGGTTGCAGAATAGCCTCATTGATGGGGAGAGCTGCCTGAGAGCAGGGCCGGCTTTAGCAAGTGCGGGGCCCGATTCGTGGGGCTTGTACTCACCAGGCAGTGCTCCGAGTCTTCGGCGGCACTTCGGATTGCCGTGCTCTGGCCGGGGGAGGGGTGCCGCGGGGCTTGCAGCGCTCCAGCCGGGGAAGTGGGGCCGCGGGGTTGCTGGGCTCCGGCCGGGGGAGCGGGGCCGCGGGGTTGCTGGGCTCTGGCCGGGGGAGCGGAGCCGCGGGGCTTGCCGCGCTCCAGACGGGGGAGCGGGGCCGTGGGCCTTGCCGCGCTCCGGCTGGGGTAGCGGGACCGCGGGGCTTGCCGCGCTCCGGCGGGAGGAGCGGGGCCATGGGCTTGCAGCACTCCGCCCGGCCCTCTTAGGCGCGGGGCTCTCTTAGGCGCAGGGCCTGATTCGGGGGAATCGGCCTAAAGCTGGCCCTGCCTGAGAGGGCCCCTGGGGTTGGAGAATGTGCAGGAGCTGATGTTGCATGTCCTGGATCTCCTCCATCCTCCAGGCAAGTCCTGGTATTAGTGGGTCATCCACCCGGGAGAGCAAGGAAGGAATAAGCGCCTTATTCAATGAGGAAGCAGTGGGGACCAGCAGTATCGGTTCCGCATCTTCCTCCTCCTCATAAACAGACGGCGCCGTAGGGCGAATGGGAATGGTTTATAAAAGGCCACCAACAGTGCCTGGCATCCTCAGTAAAGATTCCAGGGCGCCCAGTATGGCCAAAACAAAGGGTCCCTGGGCATAGGTGGGTGTCATGGCTAACAGTACCAGGCCTCCGCAGTGGGATCATACGCCGGGGGGTATGGCAGTTTGGGTCGCGATTCTGGGCTCCGATGGGGTATAGGCGAGAAAGAGGTTTCTGACTCTGAAAGGCCCTCGGACTCCAAAGATGGTTCGGGCAACAGGGGGGACCACGGGTACCGGAGGCCTGTGACGCAGCAATGGGACGTGTGTGACGTTATTAATATGAACTGTGACCATATAGATCATTGTTGCAATCAAGGTCCTATAGTGGCACCAAATCCTGTACAAAGGAGGTCAAGTAAGGCACTGCCTAGCGTGCTTGATGGCCCATTAAGGACCATCAGCTATACAACTGACCCATTGAGAGAAGGCAGATACATCTTGTGACTCAGCAAGGCATGCAGGGACATGCCTATGGACAGAACTCTAAGGTTTTTCCATGCCATGTGCTGAGTAGCTTGTGTTTGGAACAAAGGACACACAAGCCACATGGCAAAAGGACTATAAAAGGCAGCTGCATCATCTCCATTTTGTCTTCAATCCTGCTTCTTACCTCTGGAGGAACTTTGCTACAAACTGAAGCTCTGAACAAAGGACTGAATGACCCATCCAAGCTGTGGATGTACTCGAGACTTGATTTGAACCTGCAGTTTATTCCATCACTGCTACAAGCCTGAACCAAGAACTTTGCCATTACTGTATGTAATTGATTCCATGTAGCCAGTTTTAACTCTCATATATATTTCTTTCTTTTTACGAATAAACCTTTAGATTTTAGATTCTAAAGGATTGGCAACAGCATGATTTGTGGGTAAGATCTGACTGGTATATTGACCTGGGCCTGGGGCTTGGTCCTTTGGGATTGGGAGAACCTTTTTTTTCTTTTACTGGTGTATTGGTTTTCATAACCATTCATCCCCATAAGGAGTGGTGCTGGTGGTGATACTGGGAAACTGGTGTGTCTGAGGGAATTGCTAGTATGACTTCTGGTTAGCTAGTGGGGTAAAACCAAAGTCCTCTCTGTTTGGCTGGTTTGGTGTGCAAAGGACCCCCAGTCTTGGGCTATAACTGCCCTGCTCTAAGCTATTTGTCCTGAATTGATACGCTAAGTAGTGTCCTGCCAGAGGCTGCATCGTTACAACGTGCTTCTCCAGTAGCAGCAACAAAGACTCGTCCACCGGAGAGGGGAGTACGGTGGTGATTGGAGGTCTGGAAAGGGGTGGAGAAGGTGGATACGGGAGGAGCAGCTCCTTCATCGAGAGGAGAGGCTCCAAGCATCCAGGAGTGCATGACGTCCCTCTGGGCATGCCCGAGGGCCCAGGCGTTGTCAGCGGTGCTGGTCGATCCAAGGGGCTCAGAGACACTGACGGGACGGGCGGTGCACGTGCCAGTGAGGGTATCACTGGATCCCGTTTGTGTTTTGCCTTGCACTCAACATGGGGCAGCTTGGGTGCTGGTCTGGTGGGATCCACATGCGACCTCTCACCCAACCTGGCCTGGGGAGGAAAAGCTGCGCTTATTAGTGGTCAGGGCCGGGGATCTGCTCTTGTGCCCATGTCCATGCTTTTTACCCTCATGGCAGGGCTTGTCCGTCGCCTTCGGAACTGACAGATCCAGGGCTTGGGAGGTGCTCGGAGGGGAGCTCACCGCCAGTGATGGTCTCTATACCGGTGGTTCCAGATACAAGTGTGCCCTCGGGTGCATGACTGCATCCATTGAGAACTTCCGGAGGCAAAGCTCTCAAGCCTCCTGCGTTCAGGGTGGGAACGACTTACAAATCGAACAGCGGGCCGTGAGGTGGGCCTTCTTGCTGAGGCAGTACAGGCAATGCTGGTGCTCATTGCTCACAGAAAATGAGCACGGTCAAGAGGCACAGTTCTTCAAGCCTGGAATCCAGGCATAGTCCCCAAGGGGGGGTTTCCCCAAATGGGGGGTGTGTGGGAGGGAATCTACACTAACAATTATCTATGAAGAACAACAGCTATGGAACACTAAATACAGCTATGTACAACTATATACAGGAATGGAAAGTAGATCACTCTCTTAGCAAGCTAAGAGTGCAAAGGAACAGGGTTTCCGACTCAGGCCATGCAGTGGTAAGAGGGAACTGGAGAGGCATCAACCCACATGGCCTATTATACCCTCAGCTGTGAGCATGAGGGGACGCACGATGCACATGAGGGTCAACAAACACTGCTAAGAAAACCTTCCAATTCCAGTGCATGGCGCACATGTGCACCCACGTTTGGAATACATACAGAGACCATCACTCGAAGAAGAATATCTTTTAATTGGACTAACTTAGATCTTACTTGGCCTAGACCGAACAGTAGGCTCTTCAGAAGTTGGTCCAATAATAGATATTACCTCACCCACCTTTGCTCTCTCACAATGTGTGATATCATTTATATTATAAAATGGCTATTGTTTTTGTAATTTTTTTGGTAATTGGTATTTCCTATTTTAATTAATATGATATAATATATAATGTAATGCATTATAAACATTTTAAATAATTCATTTTGAAATTAAAATGTTGAAAATTTTCTAAACATTATTTTTCTAAATGAAATTTCCTCAAAATTGAAAAGTTCTGATAGAAAAATGAGCCCATTGGAAAATTTCCAATCTGCTCTAGCTGGAGGTTTAAGCAATTTGTCATTGTGAAACAAGCACATTAGCTGGACGGTTCTGATGAAATGATCAGCCATGAAAGAGTAAACGATGTTGTGTTAAAACCCCATTGAAGTGACTAGGGCAGTTCACACCTCTCCAAGCTATTGTTTCAGGATGCCTGCAGACTCAGGAGGACATTACTTGGTTTGGGCCTGGAAGGTTACCTTCACAACCATTAGGGATGAAAACTTTTTTTTCACTGAATCTTAGTCTTAGGGGGACTGGTCCACAGTATGAGGCTCGTTCCACTACACATTTTGCATCTGTGGACTTATGGACTACATGGGGCCCTGGCCATGGAAGGCATTTCGATCCCATGGCAATGGATGACATCATACACATCTTGCATCTGAAGAAGTAAGGTTCTTACCCACGAAAACTTATGCTCCCAATACTTCTGTTAGTCTTAAAGGTGCCACAGGACCTTCTGTTGCTTTTTACAGATTCAGACTAACACGGCTACCCCTCTGATACTTGATATCATATACATAGAATCACAGAATATCAGGGTTGGAAGGGACCTCAGGAGGTCATCTAGTCCAACCCCCTGCTCAAAGCAGGACAAATCCCCAACTAAATCAGATTGACATCTAGATTGACAGCAGGCACTCACAGGCCACATAATCACGTGAGAGGTGTTTCTATGCCCATGTCATCATGAAGTAGCACTTTGCCATATTGGAGTAATCTCTGGGTACTGCAGCAGCTGTTACTCTCAGACTGGAGGTGGTTTCTGGTGCCCTTATTCTAATAGAGTGGCATGTGTTTCAGGGGGTCTATATGAGGGCTGCATTTTATCCAGTGGCCAGTCCTTACTTGCAGGAATGTGCCACCTCTGCAGACCTGATGGGGACCAGGCTCTTGAGCACACAGAGTGTCCACGTACTGCATTGCACATACCGTAAGTGGTGGGTGCTACGGGCGACTCAGGAGGGGCTCCGGAGTTGTTGTACATGGCTGCATCTAAGAAACAGAATTGAGGACGAGTCAGTGACACTGACATGCCTGTGACAGCTGTTGTGAGGGCAGAGTGGATTGTTCCTCTGTGGCACTTAATTCATGTCACAGAGCACCTACTCAACTCTACCTTGCCCTGCAAAGGTCCCTAGCCCTCTCCAGCCCAGGTTACCACAACTCAGCCAAGTCTGAATTCTAAAGCCTCCAAGCACAAATCCACCATTAGGAGCAGTGTGCAGGAGAACGTTCCCATTGCACACTGCTGCTCTCCTCTCAAAACCCTGCTCCTCCACAGGATGAATGCTATAGCTACTGGTACCACAGTAGCCCCAGTACCCGCTTTCCATGGGTAAATAGGGGACTACTCTTCTCACTGCCTTGTAACACAGGAACAAGTGGACATTCCATGGAATTGAAAGATGAGAAATTCCAAGCCAATAAAAGGAAGTACTTTTTCCCCACATACAACACGTGATTAGACTGTGGAACTCACTGCCACAGGAAATCATTGGGGCCAAGAATTTAACAAGATTTTAAAAAGGGACCAGATATTTATATGGTTATCAAAAATATCAAGAGTTACCATAATTAACGATAAACATTTGGGAAGGGACACAACCTCCTGCTTCTGGGCTTAAGCCTGTCTGTCAGTGACCACGATGAGCCCTAATGTGGATGCAGATTATCCCACATCAACTACTACAGGGTTCTCATACCTTTTCTTGCAGCAGCTGTTGCTGTTAGGTACAGGAGACTAGGTTAGAAGCACCTGAGGTGTGATCCAGTCTGGCAGTTCCTACATTTCTATGCTCCAGAACAAATGGCACATTGCTTGGCACTCCCTGGACCTATGCCTCCCTTGCTCCCTGACATGGATGCTGTAGCTTCCAGGACCCCATCCTCCCGCCCTTTGCCAGTACCTGACTGGAATGTGATCTCACTGAACATCATCCAGGTGTCGGCAAAGTAATACTGGCACTTGATGGCGCTGGCCATGCGATGAAGCAAGGGCACGGTGACGAACCGCGCACTGGGGTTGACGTCATCCAGCACCAGCACCGAGGAGATGGTGTTGGGCTCCCACTCATTGGCATCGGAGCGGAAATAGCACTGAACTTCCTTGAAGATCTTCACCCCCTTGGAAAACATGTTGTTGCAGTGCACCTGCATGGCAGCAACAGAGTCCCAGGTGAGCTCGACACCAGCACAGGCTGGCAGCACCCACTGCCCAGGGAAACTCCATAGGAATCGGAGACCCTGGGATAGTCACACAGGGAACACTGTGCTCATCGCGCCCTGCCCTTGGTGGCACCCTCACCTAGAATCCTAGCTTGTCAAGGGGCCCCAGGAGGAGGGGGTGGGGGACATTTCCTTAGCATTTCATCATAGGAAACTTGGCACTGTCTGAGGTCACAAATGGAGTGAGTCTTTGGTCTCATTCCAGTCACTAGCTGACAGGTCATAGAAACATAGTGATTACAGAGAGAAGTGGCCCATTAGTCACCCACAGGCAGGGATAGTAAGTGGGGCAGCGCAGCGGGCTGAGCAGAGCAGGAGCTGGTGGCTAGGGCTGAGGAGGCATGGTGCAGCTGAGAGGACAGTGTAGCGTTGCATCACTCATGTTCACTATTCCTGACACAGCCCCCCTCCCTTCTCCCCCCCTCTCCCTCCGATGCAGGGCAGACTGTGTCCTAGACCTTAAGGCCTTGCATTGGCATTTTGCGAGGCAAATGACAAAATCAGAGCCCTAGTCCCTTTCTAGAACGTGCCTTCTGCAGCCGGGCACACGGTTCTGAGAGACAAGGCCACAACAAGCCCTCATTGATGTTACCAAGAAAGGTGCCCCTGGAGCTACAGACCTTCATGGTGGTGAAGTTTCTGATCCGATCAAATTCAAACATGATTTCAATGTAGCCCCCAGCAGCGCTCTCATTGCGCCACCCCACGTAGTCATAGCCCGGCCACATGTGGTACTCATGGGTCTGTGTGAAGTCATCCAGGCCAGAAACACCATCCGTCAGCTGGCCCAGTCCCTCAGTCATGCTGTAGACACCACGGAAAGATACAAGGGGGCATGAATCTTTTTTGAAGTCCACACAAAAATCTTCCCGCTCTCTGCCTCCCACCTGTCCCCCCATCCCACCAGCACTGGGGAGTGTACAATGGGTGGGCATTTTTCATAAATGCTTTAAAAAACTGAAGGACTTTTTCATTATAGCTTCTTAAAATCATGAAACTAACTCTCTTTCCTCACTGAGTCCCCTGAGAGCCATTGCGGCCTGTTTTAATAACACAGAGGCTCTGCAGCCCTGGGCAACCTTCAGTGGTTTAGCAGAGGTGCTTAGGAGTACTTGGCCTCACATGCTCATTTGTGTGCCATTAAAGAACCTGGATGGACAGAGGGAAGCAAGAAGAGTGGGACAGACAGACAGACTAAAATGTTCAAACCTGGAAGTCTAAAGTTAGGCCCCTAAATAAAGAGGACCTGATTTGCAAGGGACTTGCTACTCCCAATCGGTCCACAAATCCCACTTGTGACGGGGCAGCCCCGCCCCGCACTAGCCCCAGCGACGTCAGACCAGTAGCTCTGACAGAGGAAGTCCCGCCCCGTTCGTACTGGGCATGCTCCAGATGCTCACAGACCACACCCCCTTACGATGGATAAATAGCATGAAGGACGCAAACCCCTGGATACTACATTGGTACCTCTCACTGCAACCCTATGGCTTCCGCGTATTTCATCGCCCGGGTAAGGCACACGCTAACGCGGACTTCTTTTCCAGACAGGGGAGGAGGGGGCAGACCAACCAGAGGGGTCCCTCTTAAGGGGGAGGGTGTGTGACGGGGCAGCCCCGCCCCGCACTAGCCCCAGCGACGTCAGACCAGTAGCTCTGACAGAGGAAGTCCCGCCCCGTTCGTACTGGGCATGCTCCAGATGCTCACTGAGTATAAAAGGAGGGAACTCAGCTCAATCGGGGCTGGTGGCCGCAGGGGAAGGACCTAACTGGGAAGCTCCTGCAGAGGACCAGCCGCCGCTCTTGAAGCTGCCAGGAACAGAGGCTTCTACAGGCCGGCACGAACCCCTACTGTGGGAGAAACCAGGGGAGGCGACTGATCCGGAGACTCACGGAGAACCCTGGGATCCGTGGGAGACCCCAACTCCCAAGCCGGTAGGGAGGTGACGGACTGGACCCCAACTCCCCACCCAGGGGAGGTGACGGACTGGTACCTTGACCCCAGTAAGCCTCAGCGTGTTTCGGTAGGACCCCCTTGCTGAGCCAGTAGTAAGGTCCTACGGCCCTGCAACCAGGGGCGCTTGTATGGACT